TCTGGGGGCTGGGGGGTGGGGCAGAGGGGGTCACACGCCTCAGTCTGAACCAGGGAGGCAGAGCCTTGGCAGAATCACCCAGAACCACGGGGTGGAGGCCGGGGGCCAAGGCCACCTCCCCGTCCTGCCAGCTCCGTGCACACCGTGCTCCAGGTCAAGTGCTCGGTGTGTCTTTCCTGCTGGTGGACCGATGATGGAAAGAACCCTCCCAGTCAGGGTCAGGATGAGGCCCGTGGAGGAGGGGCACTCACAGGCACCCCGAATATTCTGGCTGGGGGCAGGGTCCCCACCAGGTTGGGGCCATTTAAAAACAGTGCATGACTTTTGGGGACACACAATATTTTTATCAGTTCATGATTGTCACAGACAGTGTTTTTGCCCTGGAAGTGCCTCATTTGTGGAGAAGCGTGTGAGGCTTACATCCGTGACACGCTGACCTGGGCCTCCCCCGGTTGGCAAGCGTCTTCTGTAATGTGGGGCGTCTGTCTGTTCTCGCTGCAAACCAGGCTGTGCTGATTTCCCCTGAGCCCTGGAGACAGGACAGAGGACACGGCTGCTGCTCCGGGGGCCGAGGGCCCTCCTGGGGCTTGGCTGCTGGCAGGTGCTGGGGGGAGAGGGCGGGGGGAGAGGCTCAGGGTCCAGGAGGGATGAGGGGGGGACGGCGGGACGAGGGGTTCCTCTAGCTGCAAGAGGCGGGCTCTCCGGTTGCACGTAGGTGAACGGTCTCAGGCAAGTTAAGCACCAGGAACGGGTAGCTCGCTGCATTGACAGGAAGCTGGGAGAGTGGCCGAAAGGAAGGCTGCCCTGGACACCAGGTGACCACAGGGGAACCTGAAGGCACCTCCAGCTCCTCCTCCTGCTGGGTCCACTACCTCCTCGGCCGGGCCCCTGGGTGGTCGTCTGGTCCTCACCGTCCCGTGGGTTGGGTGTCTGTGAAGGACAGGACAGACCCCCATTCCTTTCAGAGGAAACCTGAACTCGTGGCGATGCAGGTGCCACCAGCCCCGGCGGCCCCCCTGGAACTGCCGCAGACGCCACTTTAGACCGTTTGGGGGCTGGGCTTGGCGCAGGCTCCGTCGGGAAGGCTGGTGGCTGCCCCAGTCCAGCACAGAGTCCCAGAAGCCACAGCTCGGGCCCCTCTGCTCTCCACTCTCGGGGTGCAGTTGGGGTTCTCACCTAAGTCCTTTTTTCTCCTTTGTGTGTGGGGGTGTATCTGTCATCCAACAAGAAGACTGCTTTTCTCTGTGATCAATGGTTGCATTTCAGGTTCTCCCATTAATTTTTCAATATTAATAGCAACAATAACAGTAATGAAGGTGAGGCTTTGCGTCACACTGGCCAAGGTGACGCGTGCATTTTCTCTGTATTAACACCATGGACAATGAGGTGGGGAATTTGTCTCCTGAGCTCAGGGCCATTCTCGTGGCGGGGCCACCGGACGCAGGCTGAGCCGTGTAAGCAGCACCCACCTTCTCCCGGGCGACCTGCCCACAGGTCTGAGGAGACCGCGGCAACAGCAGGCAGCCTCCGGAAGGTGGGCGCGCTGGCTGCTCTGGGCTCGTCTGCAGCCCCACTGCCAGGCCTGGACCCCAGGTCTGCCCCTTGCCGGCTGTGCACCCGGGCAGACAGCTTCACCTCTCCACCGTGTCTCCTCACATACAAAGCAGGACCCTGGCTCACCTGCCTCACAGCATCCTGAGACTCACAAGTGCCAAGGGCATGGACACTGGCACTCGGCGTGGGCTCAGTGAATGTCAACCGCCTCCCCACGCAGCTTCAGTTTCCGAAATCCTGGAGAGGCTGGGAACGTGCAGACTCAGGCTTCATGTGTTGGGGGGACAAGGGCAGGGAAAGGGAAAAGCAGAAATGTTCTTACCTTTGGCCCCTCCGGAAGTTACTGCTTTCAGAGGAAAAGGGCAAAGGATCCCTTGTCCTCGCTGCGGGCACCCCGCTGCCTTGTCCCGCATGTCCTGTGTCCTCTGTGGCTGCACACGGAGTTACTTGGGGAGCCTTAGTCTGGGTGTGGCCTGGACACCCAGACTCATAAACACCCTGTGATTCTAAAACACTCCACGGTTGAGAACCACCTTCTGCGGCTGGCGGGACCCTCCTGGTGGACCTGGCACTCCAGCCTCACCCGTCTCTGTCCCACATGCCCTGTCACGCCCCTTCACTGAGTGGAGGGGAGGGAAGGGGAGGCAGTGTCTCTCAGGCCAGCATTCCCGCCACCAAGGCTGAGAGCTGTGAGTAGCAGTACCCCTTTGGGCACCCATGAAGTCCGTGGGGGGCATGGCCCGGGGAGGTGGGCGGTGCTGAGGACGGCTGCTGCCCACTCTGGCTCCATGCCGCCTGCCTCAGGCCACCGGGCTGTGTGGCCAGGGCTCCCCTGGGCGTGTAAGTCCTCTGACGTCGACCCTGAGGTCCGTGCATACCTGCATTTCACCAGGAGCTGCGTCTGGACAGCACTGGCTCAGGTTTAGCGCTTAATCCCTAGGATCCACGAGTGGTTTCATCAGGACTTGACGAAGAAAACCACAAAGCACATAAGGAACAAATGACGTTTTTATTAAAAATTGTACCCATAGCACCTCTCGGTCTTCCTACACATTGGGTTTTGTTTTCGTTTGTGTGTTTGCTTTTTAAATGAGTTCTGCTTTTTGCATAATTCCAGAAAACGATGTCGGGAAACTTCAGGATTGACCCAGGCTCTCGGTCAGCCAGAAGGTGACGTTGAGAGGACACCAGGTGTGCCTCCGCAGTTCACGGATGCCGACAGTGTTCCGCCTGTCGGACTGGCTCCATGTGACAGGGAGGCTGACTCAGAGGCACAGCTGGACACGCAGACCGAGGGTAGCCACACTGGGTGCCGAGAGCTCAGGAAACTGAAAAGCGTGCTGAGAACAGTGTCAAACGCAGTGCGTGGTCCGGGTGTGATCCAGTCTGAGTGCAGCCCGGCCTCCCGCGTGTGGGGCTCCCGGGTGGAGGGCCAACCCCTCACTCCCCTTCACGGTGTCCCCCTCCACATTTAATCGAGTGCTCCCTAAAAGCATAGCACGAGAAGCTGAGGAGAAGGCTGGGCTGCGGCCAGGCCCAGGAAGGACCGATCTGTTCGGAGGGAGGACACCCAGGAGGCCACGTTGATGTGCTTAATGCCCGAGGAGCACATGGACGGCCCACGGGCCACCCCACCGACCGCCTGTGTGGAAACCTGTGCCCGGTGCCCCATGGAGAGGACGACCCCTGCAGAGCCCACTGCCACGCAGGCAGAGGACGTGGCCCCCAGCTGCGCCCCTGCATCGTCCTCACCCCGCAAGGGCAGCTCATCTGGCAGCGACGTCTTTGCCAACCCCCTGGAGGTTCCCGTGTGGGGACTCAGCTCCTACTCAGACCATGAGGCACCTGACTGACATCGCCACAGGAGAAGGGGACACTTCCTCTGGCCTGGGTTAGAGGAATGGTGCTGCCCTGCTTTCAGAGCTTAGAGTAAAATGCAATATCCATTTTCCTAGTGTGTGGTTTTTTCTTTCCTCCCTAAAGACTAGAGGTTGGGAGCGGACGCTTCCCAGGCCCATGTTTCTCTGGGAGGCTGAGCTCTGCTCCTGTGGTGCAGGTGTCCTCATGGCCCAAGCCCCCAGGGATGGGTGGAACGCAGGCGCCTACAGTCCAGCAGCTGTCACAGCGCCAGCGCAGCCTCGGACAGACAAGGCCATACATACAAAAAAGTTTACTAAAAGCAGAGAAAATACAGGAACCATAACGAGCCTGAAAAAAGTGTCATGTTGTTGTCGTCACAAAACCCAAAAGCAAAAAACACACCTTAAATCGAGTCGTCCTCATCCTAAAACGTTTCAACATGTTCCCCACTATTTAAAGCGAAGTCTGTATGGCTTAGACAGCAAAGTGCACGGGGGCGGCGTGAGTCGCATCCTCTGCTTGGCGTGTCTCTCAGGGAAGTCAGGGCGCAGGCTCGAGGGTTCCTGTCCCCTTAGCCATCTCTGTGCCCCGAGGCGGGGCCTGTCCACGGAACTGGGGATTGATTCTCAGTGGCTTTGGGCAGAGCGTCTAGGATTTTTGGTTTAGAATATTTCCCCCTCCACTCAGAAAAAGAAGAAGGGAGGGAAGGAAGAAAGGTAAAGAGGCAGAGGGGGGACAGCGAGAGAAGCTTTCCACACTTTCTACGCTGGGAAAAGGGGCTTTTCATCGAACATGAAACGCCCCGTGGTCTCCTGGGGCCACACCCAGCAACTCTGAGAGCAGAGGTTAGAAGCCCCCACCCGCACCCCATGGAGGAGCAGATGACTGCCCAGCAGTGGCCCCAGGCTGCACGGGCACCGGCCAGCCGCCAGACCCAGCCCTTCCCCACCCTCACAGCACCCTCGATCCCTGGGCCTTGGGGGTGCCGACAGAGTGGCCGTGCATCTTGCATGTGCCACGCTCCTGCGGGCAAGGTGGGGACGTGGGCCCTCCTGGACCCCGGGGCACAGAGCCTGGCACCTGTGACACACACAGCAGCACCCCTGTGACATCTGGACCCAGCTCTGGGCTGGGGGTGGGCTGCCTGCCCCTCAGCCACCTCATCACCTGTTGCGAAAATAATGTGATGGGCTGGATGTACAGCTGTGGTTTGGACTCTCTAACGTCCAGTTCATGCTATTTTCATTAGCTAAAAACCGAAAACAAAACTGTAACAAAGTAAAAAACATATTTCCAGAAAGTCTGTTCAGGCTAGAAGCTGGCCTGGGATCGGGTCGGGGAAGGGACAGCGGCTGCTCGGGTGGTTGGTAAGCAGCGGGCAGTGGCGGGTGCAGGGGTCCCGACGGAGGCCGTGCTCCGAGCAAGGCTGTGCCCGCCTGCACGGCAGGGACTGGGTGACGAGGTAGTTGGGGGCCTCGTTTTCCCAGAGCCCATTTGCTTTATGTGGAGACACTCTCGCTTTTCATCTTTCCCAAGTACAAAGCTAAACAATTAATAAAAAGGCACCTGGAGACAGCAGAGACTCATTCATTTCATGTGACATATTTTAAAAAAAGATAAAAAGATTTAAAAAATACTCTGGTTAACAATGCACACCTCTTACAGAACAAGCAATTCGGAAACGCCGTCGTCCTCTGCGTCAGCGGGCTGGCTGTGTGCTGTGTGTGGACGGGAGGAGCTAGTTTGCTAAGTGAGGGCTGTCTTGGGGCTTCCGTGGGGGGGTCTCCTGCTCCCGCGCTACCGGGTTTGAAGAAAGGAAGGAAGAAGCAAGCCCCGAATATTTCACCCCCGGGATGACACGCAGTGCAGCCTCCGAGCCATCGGGGTCAGAGGACAGCACGACAGCCTCCTGCCGGCTGCGGGGAGGGAACCTTGACGCTGGCTCCTCGCTGGACACTGCTGAGCGAGGGCGCAGCCGGCTCGGGAAGCCCTCGGCCGGGGCCAGACATTCCCTCTTGCAGCCCCGGGGGGCGCTGCGGGCTCGCGCTGGCACAGGCGAGCGCTGGTCCCGGGGCCCGGGAGGTAGAGCAGAGGCCGGGCGGCTGGAGGCAGGTGGGGGTCTCGCTGGCCCCCGCCCCCCCTTCCCCTCCAGCCTCCTCGTGGCGCGAGGATGGAGAAGCCCAGCCCGGGGGGCCGGATCGGAGGTCCGGGGTGCCACGCCATTGCACCAGTGAAATACACCTTCTCGTAAAAAGAAAAGAAAAACAAAGAAACCTGCTTCCTGCAGCGATGTTACAAAAAGCCATTAAAAAAACCTTCCTAATTGAAACCTAGTGTCCACAAGTAGGTGAGACCATCGCCTATCAGCATCCTTTTCAAACAGAAACTCGAGCTCGGTTACCGGAGTTGATTGTCTGGACAGAAGCGGGCTCCCGAGGGCCCGTGGCCGGCGCCCCGGAGGCGCGTCACACGAAGGAGGAGAAGCCGGTGAGCGCAGTCCGGGCGCCGGGGCCGGCGGGCACGAACACGGCGCTCTGCGTGGTCACCACCGTGTGCAGCTGCGGGCCCTCGCCGCCCGCCACCGCCTCGTACCTGTGCGGGGCCCGGCGCTTCCACGAGTTGTAGTAGGTGGGGTCGCTCAGGTAGTGGTTGACGAAGGAGTGCTGCGGCGGCACGTCCTCGGCCTCGGAGTCGGTGCCCTGAGGGGGACGGAGGGGTGAGCGCACGCAGGTGGCACTGGGCACCGGGGAGGGGAGGCCATGGGGAGGGCAGCCCCGGACCCAAGGGGCCCATCCTGAGCAGGCATGGAGGTGACGAGGGGTGTGTCCTCTACGGGACAGGAATTTCCACGCGACTCACGTCCATGCAGGCCACGACGGGAGGTCACTGGGAAATGGGGCCCTAAAAGAGCCGTGATGTCCACCTTTCTGTCTTCCCCTCCCTCCTGGGCACTGACGGGCCCCACCCGCACGACAGGGCGCAGACAGCTGGAGGAGGGACCGGGCAGCGCCCTGTGTGCAAAGACCAGTCCCTCAGGGGTTTCCTCCCCTTTCTTCTTATGCGATAAACCTGCAGTTTCCATTAAGAACATTTAGTGCACACAGTTTCTAGTCATTTTTTGTAAAGCAAAACTCTACTTCATGTATTTTATGGTTTGGGTGACGCAGAAGCCACTGGAAGGCCTGCTAAAGGTGATGGGGGCTCAAGTGTTTCCCAAGAGGGCGGGGGAACCTCTGTCCGGGACCCTCATCCTTGGGCCCTGCCACCTGGCCGCCAGGATGCTGGGAGGACCCACACTGTGCAGCCCCCAGACCCTGGAAACACAGTGGGCGCCTCGCCGCCCCAGGGGACCTGGCAGATAGTCCAAGAATGGAACGGGTCTATAGACACGGCGGTGGCCGGCCAGCCGGGAGGCTCAAGGATGGGGCGGGACATGGCGGCTCCGTCCGTCCCTCCCAGTCCAGCTGCCCGGCCGGCAGGATGGGCCTCCTCTCTGGGCTCCAGTGCCAGGGCTGGGCCGCCACACCTGCTCTTTTCTCCCTTCCCAGGGGGTGTCAGGAGGCCTGGGTGGCTTATAAAGGAGTGAGAGACCCCCAGATGCTCCCCAGAATCACCAGGGAAGTGTCATAAGAGCTGGGGTTCCTGGGTGTGGCTTCTGCTCTCCGGAGGGACCCGGGAATGTGCAGGCTGGGGCGGGGACAGGAGGAGGGGAAGGTGCCTGCTTGCCATCAGGTTACGTGGGGTCCATATAGAGAACAGAGAGTCCCTGGCGCTGTGAGCGACGTGAGCGACATGCCTGCCCCCACTCGCCCTCAGCTGATGGTCAGAGAGTGACCGGCCCCCACCCCCACCCACGCAGGAAGCTCTGATCCGTGCACTGACACTGTCCCTCCGAGGGCCAGCATTTCGTCCTGCAACCCAGGGCCTCCTGGGATTCCTCCCACACAGCCTGAACATCTGGCTCGACCGGACTATTTACCTGTAAGTAACGTTAAGTCACAGATTTGGGGGCTTTTCAGTATATTAAATGTAAACTGGTTGTATCATGGCACCTCTAACAGTTGGCAGCGGCACACGCCTGGCCGTCCTGCGCGTCACTGAGTCAGAACTCATATAGGTGCAGGGCTGCGCAGTGTCCCGTCCCGTCACTCCCCAAGATGCAGAGAACACCCACTCCCCCGTAACTGGGTGACGATGAGGACAACACTACTGTTTAGCGACGGCGGCTTTTCAGCGGCCACGACTACACAGCAGGTCACAATGTTTAGAGCTGCACAGTGACCCTGTGAGGTGTGTGTTGATTGTCACTATTTTATGGATGAAGAAAGAGGGTGAGAGGGACCCGCCAGCTGCCTAGGTCTCGCGGGCGGTGGGAGCCCATGCCTGAGCCCTGCACCCCCAGGGTCCTGCCGCCTCAGCAGGCGAGGGGCTGGACCCCAGCTCCAAGCGCCTGCTTCCATTGGCTGAACGGGTCAACAACTCCCAACCCGTAATCCCCAAGCCCACGATGCTCTGAAATCAAAAGCTGCCTTTCGAGCTCATTTGGTGGCAAAGCCTGACCTGCGTTGAGCTCACTTGGCAGCTGACCCTGAACTGATGGGAGCCTGTTTTGTGTGAACATTCTTGGGGTTTGCTGCAGAAATACTGGGTTCCATCACAGATGGCTGTCCAACCCGCTGGAGATGTTCCGTAATACACGATCCAGTCCCAGGCCCAGAAATGTGAATTCTTCAGTGTACAGCCTTCAGGGCATCAGATGAGGTCGGCCCCTGTCTTTGCGGCTGTAGGTTTTACTCTTGATCTGTTTCCCAGAGGCCTGGAGGGATCTCACAAGGCTCTGTGTGAAGCTGCACAGGAAGAAAAGGGGGTGATGCCACCCAGAAAAGCTGGAGGGGCTGCTCTCAGTCCCCGAGCTGGTCTGTCAGTTCTTCAGACACCGATTTGGGTTCTAAATTTCCTGACGCTTATGGGGAGGAGCACATGCTGAGACATACTGACCACACCCTTTTCTCCGAAGTTCACAGAACACCAGGATCGGGCGACAGGAATTCGCTGCCAGGCTCCACAACGGGGTCAGGTTCGTGGCGCTCTGAGGGCCGCGCACAAGATCCAAGCCCCTTGCCCTCCTCAGGCCACGTCCTCCGGGGCTCTGGGCCCTCCTGTCGCCCTCCCAACCGCAAAGCACGCTCATGAGGAAAATGTCACGAGTAACAATTGGTTCAGTCTGCTCATTTCGTGTTTGAAAGCACCAAGACCCACAGAAGCAAGAGAACTTCTCAGGGTCACGCTGGCTAGGGACAGAGTGGGGCCAGAGCCAGCACTGGTATCATAGCCAAAAGGAGCAGAGACAAGCCTTTCAGTACCTCTGGGGACACCTTCGACCACAGTTTTATAAAATGTTAGCGAAACACTTTACGTGGGTGGGTCTTATACCAAGTCTCCCTGAGTGGCGAACAAATCATCAAACGCACAGCCAGTCCGTGCCAGCCGTCCCGTTTCGGTAAACCCGTCCAGCACCCAGGTGGGGAGCCTTCGGGCACTTCCTCCCCCTCTCTGCCCTCGCCTGTCCCTGCCTGCAGCTGTCCATTCTGGAGAGAAGCCGGGTTCCTGGTGGCCGGGTGGGACCGAGGGGGGGGGTCTCTAGAGACCTCTGAGTCCTCCAGGAGCCAGTGTTTCTAAGAGCATGTCTAGCTCTGCTGAGAATCCACGCATAGGAAGGTCTCACCCATACGTGTGTTATGTGACTAATAAGATTGTTACATCTGAGGCTGCTTAGTAACAATGCATCACATGCATTTTCTCAACTAAAGATCTAACAGTCCCATAGCATGGACAGAGGGGTCTGTGACAGACGTGGGTACTGAGGAGAGGTCCTGGCAAGAGCCACAGTCAGGAGTAGTTCAGGAAGTGATCCCTCTCTACCTTTCCCATGGGCTGAACGGCCTGTCCCTCAAAAAACAGTGGCTAGTGGGTGGGCGTGTGACATCCGCGGGGCCAATCGGAACGTGCCTGGGGCTTGACTCGCTATGCCTGGAAGACCAGAGTTCTTTATGTGGGGACAAAGCTGGTGGCTGTGAGCCTTGAGTGGCCAGGGCCCATGGATCCAGCCACGTGGTTCCAAAAGCCACCCTGGGAGAAGTGAACCACTGTACAGAAAGAGGGAGCTACCAGGTCCATGTGACACGAAGCCGGCCTCCTGGGTCCTGCTCAGACCCTGTCGCTAGCTCCACGAGCAAGTGCTGCATTAAAAGGCCACTGTTCCTCCTGCTGCCTGCTCTGTTTATTGTTTACATGACATTATTATTTTTAATGGGGATCTATTTCAGTGAGTTAGAATTATTGACAAAAAAGAAATGCCGCAGGATTTTTAAAAAAGTTTCCCGTGTGATATGAAGTAGAGATGTGTGTTGGTTTCCCAGGAAACCAGAGAAGGCCAGCGTGTGATTGGATGTGGGGCAGACTGGCTGTGGGAGTTTCTAAAGGCACACAGATGCCTGGCGAGCAGCTAATAGAGATAATCTCAACACTTGTGGTATTACACTGGCAGGATGAAAGACTCGAATATTATTAGGGAATTAATTAGGTACGAGGGGCTGGTCTAAGTTGGTTGGAGCAGGAGAGATTTTGAGAACTGTTTCTGTGGGTTTCAAAAACAGTTTTTGAAATGCAATTTGAACAGCAGTCCTGATATAATTCATAAGCCGTCGGGTGATAAAACAGTGACAAACCCTCTTATTTCTAGCTGGAGACACAGAAAGAGCTGCAGCCTGTGTCACGTGATGCTGATGGCCTAATTTAGAGCAGCTCTGATCAGGCAGGTTCTTGTGCACCTGTGAACTGATTCTCAGAATTTTCGCTTTAGCAGTATTTTTGAAAACGGTTTAAAAAGATGGAGAAAGGATGGCATCACTATTTTCTTAGTAAAATATCAGCTTCACGGAAGGGCTCTGACTCCCCCCAGCTCCGGGGTTGGGGGGGCAGGAGACCCCTCATTCCTGCGTCAGCCCCCTCATTCCCGCATCCACACTGGGTCCCACCGTTGATCGCGCCTGGGCTCGGAACGTACTTGACCTGAAAACTCTCCCTGTATAATGTATTTAAACCTAGAAGCTGCTGTCAGAGGGGAGGGTAAACCTCTTAGCTCTAAACCCAGATCTAAGTCACTATGGGCCGTCCCGTTTGAAACCAGTGGTTCAGCTCCTGGGGCTTTCTGCAGCCGGCCGCCCCCAGCTCTGCTCTCCCTGGACCTTTGTTATCTGTAACTGGACTCCATTTCTGTAAACTGGGGGTGAAGGGACCAGGCCAGAAATCAATGCTACGTTAGGAAAGCAAATGTCAGGACCCAACCAAGGTCCCCTCTGAATATCAGCACCATCAACTATGAGTTCAAAGGAAACTTCCAAAACGGCTGTGTGAGGAGCTCAGCGGGTCCTCGCCCCAGCGGAATAATGGTTTAACTGGGGACAATTTTTTTATATACAACCATTTAAAGTCTCTGGAAACGGCTGCAATCGCATACAGCAAATGGAGAAATATTTTTTTCCAGAAAATCAAAATTTCACTAAGAAGAACAAGAGCTTGAGGCACTTGACCCATGACCTGCCGCCCTGCCCCCCACTCAGTGTGACCAAAGCAGCACCCTGAGGAGATGTGGCCAGGAGACAGGGCTTCCGCCCCTCCCAGCTCCTTCTCTAGGAAT